ATACAGGTTGTACACCTCCCTTAACTGCTGGACCAGGGATGTTCCTAGATCACAGAGCCCAAGGGGGAGTGAAGAGATGAGGGGGATGGAGAGGAGGCCCAGAGTGGGGCAGAGTTTAGGAGGAGCAGGGTGGAGTATGGGCAGATCCACAGGCTCTGGAGGGAGGCCGGGCTGTGGGGCAGGAGTGCGGTGGGGGAAAAGCACCTGGTGACTCAGCTAGGAGCCCTATGTGGGGGCAGGGTGCAACATGGAGAGGGAGGTGGTGCAGCGGACAGTTCTGCCCCCTGCAGTGGGGAGGTAGCAGGAGTCAGCAGCAGTGAGGGTTGCCAGACGGTTTCAACAAAAATGCTGAACACACTTGACATTACATCACAATCTACATTACATCTTATTTAGAAAATACTGGACATTTATATTTTCTCAATTTGTTTTCCGAACAAAAAGCTCAAATACTTGACTGCCTGGTTCAAAACTGGACACCTGGCAACCCTAGCAGTGGCTGCGGAGCTCGGGTTCCGACAGGACAGGACGCTCTGGCCCCAGCTGCAGACCTTGGGGTTTGACACTGGCCATGGAGCTCTGGCCCCAGTCATGGAGCTCAGGGTCCTACAATGGCTATGAAGCTCCAGCTCTGGTCACAGCTGCAGAGCTCTGGCCCCCATAGCAGCTAGGAGCTCCCGCCTGGGGAGCCAGGGCTGGAGAAGGCAGCTGCAGTGGAAGGGGAAGCAATTCAGCAGGGGAAGGGGAAGCGGTTAAGCAGGGGACATGTTGGGAGGGACCTCCCAAGGTCTGGCAAATCCCCTCATTCAAGACCAGTTAGGTCCTGAGGTGCTAGACAAGGGATGTCCAACCTGTATCTTACTAAGGAACTAAATTAGGTGGAAGATTCTCTTAAAACTAGTTCATCAAATAGTCAGAAGTAAAGAAAGGGAAACTCATTTATCCAGCTTTCTGGAATAAAAGGGATGTTGTTCCCTTAACAGTGCTCTTCAATAGATGGGTGAAGGAAAACAGGGATGGACAGAAAGAAAGGAAGGCTGTGAATGTGAATTTTTGTACTTATGACTGGGTGGATCAGTCCCTGATGCCCCTTGCTGAAGGCTTGTGACCTGTTGCACCCTATCCTAGACAAAAAGGACAATAGAGAAGTCCTCCAAGGAGGCTAGAGTAGCCGTAGAGAAAGTGGCCAATCAAGGACAAGACTGGCATACAAAAGGGAACCAAAGCACAGGTTTGAAATCACTGTCACTAGAGCCTTCAAGGTTTGTAGACTGTGAGGCTGGCTGGCTGAGGAAGCCGTCTCCAGAAGGGGAAGCCCTGGAGATATCATTTTCAGTGAGTGGAAAAACAGACTCAGGGTATGTCTACACTAAAAAGTTAATTCGAACTAACAGACGTTAGTTCGAATTAACTTTGATAGGCGCTACACTAGCGCTCCGCTAGTTCAAACTAAGCGGAGTGCTTAGTTCGAACTAGGTAAACCTCATTCCACTAGGACTAAGCCTAGTTCGAACTTACTAGTTCGAATTAAGGGGTGTGTAGCCCCTTAATTCGAACTAGTGGGAGGCTAGCCCTCCCCAGCTTTCCCTGGTGGCCACTCTGGCCAACACCAGAAAAACTCTACTGTCCCCCTCCCGGCCCCAGACTCGTTAAAGGGGCATGGGCTGGCTACGGTGCCCACGCCCAGTGCAAGCCCGCCAGG